TTTTTTTCTCTGCAGTTATTATCTCTGTTGATAATCGAACTTTGACGATAACACTGAAATCACAATTTTAAAGAAAAATCGAGTATTATTGATATTTAAATGCACGTATACCGATAAAGACGTCTACTAAACTAATAAATCATAAAATTAGTACAATATTATCAGTTTTTTTTACTCTTAATCACTTCAATATTAACAAGGACGCGAACTCCCATAAGGATGTCGGTCTTTAATAATGTTTAGTCAAATATTTATGTTAATAATAGCAAATTTATATCAATTGTCGATAATGTCAGCGTTCTTCGATTACCTCCGGGCTTCTGAGGCCCTTTTTATACCGCCGAAAATTTGCCCAGGGTTGACGGTCTTTAATAATATCTCGTCGGTGCTTTTACGATAGACTAGCATAAAAATATGTAAACATTATAAGAATTTTAAGCACGACCGTATGAATACATAAAATAGGATAAAGAAAGCTATGATCGGTCAAAATTAGATGTTTCAAATAATATAACATTATATACTCTTTAAAAAATATATATGTTAAAAAATGGAAAATTAAGAATATTCTTTTTGATATTGCCGTTGATCAGCACTTTGTGCACTCTACGTACCGTATAAAATTTTCTTTATCTCATCAGAATAACTGAGAAACCGACTAATCGATAAGCGATGAAAGAGCAATCAATAAATTCGAATCGCAGAATTATCATTTATCGATAAATCATTTGACGGAATTCTTATCAGAACTTATCAGAAACTATTTTGGATATTCAACATATTTCAACATATTCAACAAATATAAAATTTTCTGTACATATATATTATATATATATATATACATGTATAAAATAGTTTTTAGATATATATATATCTTATTACGTCTTAATTATTATATAAGCATTATATAAATATCATCACTGCATAAAAGATTTTTAAGCGATGCGAGTGATTTAAAAATACATTTTGCTCTTGATATTCCTTTTTATTTGAACGATGTTGGCATCAAGTATTATAAAACTATAACACATTTTGTAGGCAGGCATATTAATAGTAGGGATGCTAAATTCTGATCTATTAAATTGTCACAATTATAATAAATAATTCTTCACGTACAAACGATAGATTACCGAATTCAACGTTAATTGTTCCTTTTGATTGGCAAGAGTCTACAGATTTATTTATAAAAAAATCATCTAAATGCTATAACTGCGTTGCAAAAACTTATATGATAATTAGCGATGAGTTAACTAAAAGATATGAGAATTATTATTATTTACAGTTTTGCGACAAGTTGAATTTGCGATTAACACACTTTGCATACGTTGTACATACTAATGTGGATAACATACTAAATCATACACATACATAATAAAGTGAAAATCTCGATCGATCAGATTTTTTTCAAATGATATATTTTACACAAAGTAGATAAAAATCGATGATTTATTTAACGAATTATCAAACTTAGATGCCTTTTATTGTACAATATATCAATAAGTTTTAATATACATATACTAAAACGGGTTACAAATGAGTATTCCTTGAGAGATACGAAAAGATACAGCGTAAAAATAAAACATTGTATCCATCTGTTATATACGAGATAACGATCAGCGTAATTCCTGAGTTATATTTAGTATATCGCATTATATTTCCTTTTATATATGTATACACCATTAAAAGTAATCTAAATAATTTAAAAATATGATGTCGATATAGTCTTAAACACATTAATCAAATCTACATGCATACATAAATATAATTATTACCTACGCTATGCACAATACTAATCTTTACATATCTCTGTATTTATTTACAATTATCCTAACATCATTCTTTCCGTTCTCGTTCGAATAAAACTTGCGTTTCAGTTTACGTATAATAAAATATTCTTTAAATTTCTATTATAAATTATTTCATAAAAAGGCAATTGATACTCTCTTCACTCATCGACATAATCAGTTCTATTCCTTTTTCAACAACAGTTTTTAAATTCTTTTACAATAACGCGATAATATAATTTGTAATATAATTTGATAGGCGGAACGCAAGTTTTTTTATGCGCTATTGTAAAACTGTTATTCTATAAAATTGTACTCGATTATTAATTTCTTTAAAATATAATATATTTCACGTGATATATCGCATTAAAAATTTGTTTAGCGAAGCGGTATATATGAATCTCTGTCGATGTAAAATGAATCGGAGATTCGTTAATAAAAATAAAATCAACCAACGTATAAAATTCTTCCATGATTTATACTCATACAACGCAGTTCTTCAAGGGATGTCTTAACATATAGAGGACATCTATGTCTTAAAGACGTTCCTAGGACTTTCCTCAAAGAACTGTATTGTATGGGTATATTTCCTCTATAGGTTTTTTCATGACTAGAGTTGTGATCTTTCGTACTCGTACAAGTAATGGCAAGTAATTATTGTCCCTAAAGCAAGGAACAAATCATTGTTCGAAAAGAATTCGTGAAAGAATCATGTTTTCTAAGCTGTTTCACGTCATTTAGATTGTTTCTCTTGCGTCATTTAGATTGTTCCTCTTTTTTTTTTTGCTAGACGCAATATATAGGAATTAATTATAAGATTAAGTGTACAATTTAAATCCCAAGGCGAAATCATGTGCGCGTGTTCGTGCGACTCGACTTGAAATACAGTTTCCGAATTAATGAAATTAAAAATAAAATTAAAAAAATAGAATAATTAAATAACAAAAAGTTAAGTTTTCCGGATTGGCACTATTGTGAGATGTAACTACGTCGAATATATCGTAGCACACATCATGATTATGCATAAATATTCACCGAGTATCTTTTCGATGAATTTTGATATTGCGTGTGGACAGAATGTTGGAAGCGCGTTAATAGACCATAGAATAGTGTATGCCATTTTCGCGAAACCATTGAATTCTTCGACGCAGAAAAAGAAAAGGAGAAACTCATATTCATTCCTGAAGAAAATATTTTACCCATTTTGTATTCCTCACTGATACGATATTTGCCTAAACATACTGCTAATCTCCTCCATAGTCTTGTTCTTCGTTTCCGGCACTTTCTTGTATATGAAGAGCGTAAAGAACAACTGCAACACCGCAAAAATAATGAACACGTAAGGGCCTAGGACCTCCTGCAGCGGTAAGAAGCCAATGCTGACGATGAAGTTTGCGGTCCAGTTGACGGCGATGGCGACGGAGGTAGCGGGTGGTCGGGCGGATTGATTGAACAACTCTGACACCAGGAACCACGGAATACTTCCTGGTCCAGTGGCGAATAGGACGACGAACATGATGACAAGCACAATCGAGAAATATGCTGCTGCGCGTGAGGTCTCCTACAATATACAAACAAAACGTTCGATTATGATCTCAAAATCTTTTGAGAGTTATTGTTGTATATCTTGACTAACTAAAAAATAAGAGTGCAGTCCACTTGGCGCTACAAATGCTATGGAGCATTTTTTGATTGATTAATTAGTAAAATCTTTTTTCCGATTGATCAGTCAAAAGCTTCGAAGTATTTGTAGCGCCAAGTGGACTGCATTTTTTGATAGATTTTGTAGTATCAAGTGGACCGTAAGAATACTTACAGCGAATGCAAGACAAATGGCGAGTAGAGCGGTATCCACGAACATGCCGGAAAATCCGACCAAGAGTAGCGTTTTTCTGCCTGCTTTTTCTACTAACACTAAAGAGACGATGGTCATTAAGACGTTCATAGCGCCGACTCCCATCGTGGCGCTTTGAGCGGCATGCTTGTCGAGTTGCGCCATCCTGAAGATCTTCGTTGAGAAAAACATGACGGCATTTATGCCGGATAACTGCTGGGCGAACATAATCATGACCGAGATGAATAACGGGATACGAAGCGCTGGATTTACAAAGAGTTCGCGCAGAGTGACCTTCGGCACCAGTTTCACCGACTCGTACTCTGCTCGCATTTCTTCCATCTCGTCATGAACTTCGATCGTGCCACGTAACCAAGACAGCGCTATTAAGAAGAAAATGATAAATATGAAAAAGCGAACTCGGACAAAGCCGACAAAGCGAACAGGCTGGAAGACAAAGGATTTGAATTTATTCCATGACGCATATATAAAACGGCGGTTTAAAAAAAGATAATTTATGTTTCTCGAGAAATATTCATAAATTCCTTTCAAAGTATCTCTTTTATCCGCTTAACTTTATAATCTGCGCTTTACATCGCCATTTGGATGACGAAATAAATTATTATATATTCTTTTCTACCTCTTTGTGCATCCATGTCCTTGCCACGATTGAGCAACAGGTATTTGGGACTCTCGGGACAGAGAGGCAGTGTGCACATCTGGAAGAACGCTGGTACGATCGTAAGGCATAACAGCAACGGCCACTGATTGGCGGTACCAAGGACTTGCTCCAGACCGAGGATTTGCGACACCAGAATCGAAATGGTGATGACTAGCTGGTAGACGGTGCCCACGGCGCCACGTAGATGCACGGGTGAGATCTCAGCCAGGTACATCGGTGCCAAGCCAGCATTCAGCCCGGAGTTTATACCGATCAGGAATCTGCCGACGATTACCATTTCGTAGCTCTTCGCCGCCTTGGCGCTACCTTCGAAGATCACAGTCAATAGGACCAGAATGTTGTTCAACAGCAGACCGCCCTTTCTGCCGAAGCGATCCGCTGCCCAGCCTACCATGGAACCTCCTATCATTCCACCGACGCAAAATATCGACACCGCCAACGACCAAATTAACGTCACCTCCGTCTTTTCCGTTGGGATGCCTGTGCGATTTGTTTTCAGGTCTTTGATCCAGTCTTCGATAAGCTATAACAAACGTTAGAACATTTATTTAATAATTTTCATAATTTTTCATTCATTATTTATTTATTTTTTTTTTCCGTACATCATAAATATTTTACTATCATATTATTGGATGGATTCGTAATTCTAACACAGGGATATATACGATACAATATATACGATATATATATACTTCTTACATAGAAAAAAAGATTTCTTTGGATTTAATAAATCTCATTGTATCCAAATAAATTTGTTATTTGGAATGGTTCAAATAAACCAATGTTTGAATCAATAAGTGCGATTGTTTGAATTTGAAACAATGTCTTAAATACATTATTTATTTGAACAGACAATATCTATATCTTCGGCATTCGCGTAATCAAACTGTACGTCACAAACATAATTGGTATAGCACATAACACTGCTTGTTTAATTCTGTTGTTGGATGTATAAACCATTGTTTCCGTAATTTTGGCCAAAAAATGTAATGGTTCTAAGAAAGCAATTATTTGTATAGAACAATCTCTATCAATATATTTTGCTATTTTCAAATAAATAATTTGTTTCATTGTTTGTATTCATTGTAACCAAATAATATACAATATTATTTGATTGAAAGATATTACTTCAAATAATAATGTTATTTCTGTCAAGTAATAGAGATTTCTCGAATGAAGCAACAAAATTTTTATTCCAAATAATATTTCGCACAAGCATATATGTTGTTTCAATGAAACAAATTTTAGTCAAATAAATAGAAATACTAAACTCAAAGAAATCTTTTTCTCTTTGTATATTAAGAAAAAAAATAAATGTAACAGTTTAGACAAATGTTCTTGCAAATAGATCAATGTAAGATGTTTTAAGAATGTCTTACGATTAAATTGGTATTTATACCTGTTGAGGTGCATTAACCACACCGGTATTGTATCCATGCTGGAACGATGAACCGAGAGCGGCCGCTGCGATAGCGAATGCTAATCGGCCGTTGAGACCCTACGACAGAAATCGGAAATATTATGTATACGGGAAATCTTATCTTAAAGTTTATTGCAGGAAAAAAAATGTATAAAATATGTTATTTTTATTTTATATATTAAAAGAGAAAATATTTATATATATGTATAATTTTAATTAATTTTCTGATTTAAAATTTGAAGAGGAATATATTTCTTCGGAAAATTCCTGTAAGGAATATTGTTTTAGCATTTTTGAAGTCGTTTTATTCCTTCTTGAAATGCAAATATCGATATCGGTATATAGTCAGGCATATTGAAGAAGTGATAAATATGCAATGCGCAAGTATAATATAAAAAATATTGCTTACTGACTTTCAGAGTCCAATCGGAAAAATCAAATATCTGTCGTACAAGTAGTGAACCGCGAAATATTCGCGGGAAATGTTATTTCGTTAAATAAAATTTTCGCGTCGTTTATCTTTTATTTTTATTATAGAGTATTTCGAGTATATTCATTATATATGGATACGGGGAAAGAAGAAACGTTCCTAATGTAAAAGGGAAGCTATCCCATTTCTAATACCGGGAATACTGCTACTTTTGCAGGGACGTGCGTACCGTTCTTCTCACATATGGCATCTCGAAGTCGGTCGATTTTATCGTCATTCTGAAAGCTTCCTTACAAAGGCACGCACTCTTGATCACGTTCCAATATTTCACTTTCACCAATCGACATACACGCGATAGACGAAAGAATTACATATGCGTTGTGTCGGATCGTTCGTCTCGCGGTTCGTTTTATCGCGATCGTCCTCCAATATCTCAAGTATCTCGGAACACGTGCCGAAGACTGGTGAGTCGGTATTCTCGCTGGCCATTCTTATACTAGGAGACCACACAACACGCACACATATACGCGTACGCATGCGGGGTATATACATCTTTCCACCCGGAAGATACACGCATTCCACACGCGTGCGTATGTGTCGCGTTATTTAACGGCACTATGATGTATGTTACATTAGTCAATATTTTTTTTATTGAATTTGCATAAGTACAGTATATGATGCATACTCACTCGCGTACATCATTTCCATGGAGAACCGATACTCCATTATCGTTACACGCGAGAGCTTTTAATGTGTGCAATGTGAAAAATGGTGTAAACGGCGTAAATTATATCTTATTAAAAAACAAATTTATTTCTATGCTAGGTGTTCAATTAAATCGTATTAACATTAAAAAAATAAGTAAAAGACAAATCGCTAATGAGAATTAATTATTCAATCTTGTAGATATGAATGACTTTCGAATCGTCTTCATTTATTTTTTATGATTTATTATAGTTTACTCACTGTTACGTTTTGCGCTCGCTGTATTGTATTAAATCTTAAATTTAATAACATTAATATCAAAATAATAGAAGAATAACTCTCGAAATAAAAAAAATGAAATAATTTCTTCTCTACATTTCACAACAATTGCAATTGGAGAACGTAGAAAATGCATGGATCACATCGCAGGAATCGCAAATGAAGCGCATCATCATCATATTGTTCCAAGCGCGTATGTTTACATATGCATAGCACTTACATAAATATTTACCAATTTTTGACAATGTTGTGAATCTTCTTTGACGTTGTCAGTCTGATAGCCGAATGCACTTCGTACGCGGATATACGATAACAACGCTATGTACTATGAACCGAGATTGTAATTCATTGAAAAAAATTCTGTTCCGTCAGGGGGAGTATCAAATCATATACCGAGGGGGTAACCACTTAATGTAATCGTGGGACAGGGTCCTCGAAATCATTATAAAATTCATATGAAATCTCTATGTATAATTCGATAATTACGTATGCAACCACGAGAAATCATTGTATAATATTAAATAAAATCGTATATTTTACCAAATTACTTCATATGTAGTGGAAAAAATTATTTGTAATCAGATGAAATCATAAGAAAACATGTAATCTGTGGAACAATATTTCAGCTAGTGGTTACCCCCTCGTCATATACTGTACTGACTTTAAACCCTGTTTACAAAATGAATAACAATTGCAATTTATCTGTTCGCTTCTTGTTTCATTGTTCTGTTCTCTTTATCTCTCAAAGTTCTGCAAGAGCATATACAGTCTTATTCAATTTCACCCGAATATGAATATGCGAAAGAGAGCAACAAAGTAAACAAATCTATTAAAGCGTTTACGTTACGGTAATTGTCCACTTTACAATTTTGTGTCTTCGATCTTTATCTATTTGAGATAATTCAATTCTTAAAATGATACGAGCGCAAAATTAGACCTCGTTTAGCCGAGCTGGACGATCCAGCTAACAATAAGTAAGCTAGAGACAGATGCAAATTGTTCGAACGTTAAATTCGTAGTATTATAATGTTGGATTTAACCACAAATTAACGTTGTACTGTGTGCACCGACGGAAATATTCTCATCTTTCATTATCTCGCATTTTTATACTCTGGTGCAACTGAGTGATTCAAAGTTTGCATAACGCAGCAGTATTAAATTTTCGTCTCGTTCGTTATCATCGTTCATTGGTTGCGCGTCGTGTCATAACGTTTTTCGAAAATTTGTTGAACTATACAAAAAATAAACTGTCTCACTGAACATTTTTTTCGCCGATTTGTTACACACACACGCACGCACACACACACATTGTCGTAAATGATAAAGTTCTGCACGCATTGCATTTAATGACGAAAAATATAGAATATTGCGACACTACTTCACAAATAGACGCGACCTCTCGAAAAATGCGAAAAAAGAAGCGTTACGTAAAAGGCGCTAATCTAAATCTTGACTGTTCGTATTATTTAACACTTATTACTAATATGGCCGGAAGCGTATATATTTTCAATTAAGGGATGTCACAGAAGAATATAAAATTGTGTTAAAGCTCACTGTATTTATAATGAAAAATGTTTAATTCAAACGAATTGGAACAGGTTCATATGTGTGGTAAATATAATGTTAAATATCTAATCTCTAAAATGTAGATTGCTTTTAAAATCTGATCGAATATAAACGAAAGAGAATTTTATTTTATCTATAAAATAAATAATAATAGAAAATAAAAATATTCAATTATTGATCAGTAAAACACTTTGACTTTTCGCAAATTAGGAATCTATACATACGCATTATGCATTTTTATTAGATGTAATTGATCCTATTAGAATTCATTTAATTTTTAGAAGGACAAAAAACAATGTTTTGTCTCGCAATTATCGTCGAAATAAAAAAAATATGCAAGCAGGCGAAAAATATAAATAACAAACGCTTATTTATTTCTTCACAGTGATAACCATTCTATTAACCAATACATATCACGAAGATAGGGGCACGACCGAAGAGATTACCAATGCAAAAGCAAGTCGCAATTTATTCCGATGCGACGCAAAAAGTCGCCTTCAAATATTTATCCGTTTTTGATGATTTATTTAATTTGAAAGTTACTTAATTTCCACACAATTATATTTATTTCAAATGCAGATGTATGATGTATATTTAAGAAAGCGTACAAAATTATTGTAACGAAATAGTTAAAAGAAATAACTTTTGCGAAACAAAAACATATAAAGATAGGAACAGAAGAGCGATTAGAACAAGTGTCAATTTAAATAGAGTTCCATCAAGGTAAAACGCTAATTGATAAAAAATATATTGTTTCTCGTTTAATTTCAAATCTCTTTAATGAAATCTGCTTAATGATTACGGCTATAAATGCCGTTTAATGTTAAAAAACTGGTAAATTAACGTCTGCACGCGGATCTACGCGAGGGTGTCGACCCTAGGAGCAACCAATTCACAATATCTCTGCGATTGAGAGTGCGTGTGTATGTGCTACAAAATTGAGCGATATTGATCGCATACGAGACAGTAGATAAAGCCATCTAGATCATGGTCGGCGAATGCAAGCATGAAACCTTGCATGGAAATGACCTGAATCGCATTTCTATGTTACCTTCTATCATCAATTTCCCCTTGTAATTTTTCGTATCACGATTTCAAATTTATCTAATGTTTTAAACAGCCTATAGCTATTATTTCGTAGAATAAAATTCTCTCAGTTTTTCTTAGAGAATTCAATTCTTTTAGACAGAGACTGTACGTATTTATTACGCGGATAATCTGTTATAAAATTCATGAGAAACCTGTCAGAACAATAGAACGTTTTTGCAAGTAAACAGCTGACAATGAGTTAAACAAGAATTCACTCCGCGAAATTGAATTTCTAATTTATCAAAGAGGAAAATTACCTTTTAAATTAATACTTTTCTGCCTGTCTTTTTGTAGCAGTTATTTGAATGCTGAATTAATTTAATGTTAAATTTTATTCCAAATGTAAAAAAATTTATCATTTTTTTAATTATTTTCCTACTGATTCTTCTACAGATTAGAATATACTTTATTAAAAAAGAAAAAAAAACCGAGTTTAAATTGCAGATTGCTACACGACTTGTGATTTCAAAGATGTTTCAAGATTGATTTCTTTTCGATATAAGAAGAGCAAAATAACTTTTTATTTAGGCGGTGTTCGCTCTGTCATTGATCGGAGGTGACGCCTATGAACGGACTAGAAGCCGTTTCAACCAGTTCCAACGGCTAGCCAGCCGGGCGTGCGTGCGTTGCGTACGAGCATTGTAATCGTATACGGCACAGCGGATATCACATACACACGCATTGCGGTCACGTGCGTAAGGGATATTTAGTCGTTTTCTACGTAGCAAAATTCCAGGTTGTGACGTATCGCGCGTCATAAAGAAACAAGCCGTTCGTCTGTCGTGTGTATATGCACTCGTAACGAAATTCGCTCCCACATTGGCCATGGCGAAGGCGTGTCGCCGCGCTATTGGTGCTGTCGGTGCATCCAACGGTCGAGCCCCCCGAGAGAGCGGCGGCGGTGGCGACGACTACAGAGGCTTGAGGGGCTTGAGCGCGCTAAAAATAACTCGATACTCGCGTGAGCACGAGCGCGCCACCGACATTCGTCTAAGCGTGTGCTGCCTGT